CTATAGAGAAGAAACAACAGCAACTTCAAAACACGGAAAACTTTTCAACATCATATATTTCAACTGCAAAAGCGTCATGCAAGAGTACAACCTAAGTTATTAAGTTACTATGGTACCATGAACAAGAAGAGCATAGGGAATAATTAAACTCAGAGAAACATTCTAGTAAATAGAGTCAATGTTCAGGAAGAACAAACGCACCCGAAAAGCCCACACCTCTGAGCCAAGGGCACTTGTTATGCTTACCCAAGTCTCTCTCTGGTTTGCATCTATGAATAACAGGTGAGTTGCAGTAAGGTACAGAGTTCCTGTCAGAGACTTATTGCTGGTACTGAACCTATCCAGTAATTTCACGTGCTCTACCTGTAAGAAAAACGTGGCAGAAAGCAGAACTTAATATTTAGCTGCTGTGGTTATTTGCTATTAAAGAGATCAAGGTGTTAGGTTTTTTTTAAAAAGCTGAATTTCTAAACATGGAAATTGCTGTATTTTATAGGAGCAATCTCATACATTAATCATCTTCTGTTGTTCACATCTCAGTACTGCATTAACAGCTCATCTCAGATACACACTTCTCCAAACAGCTGGCTGCACCCTCATCGCAGCTACAAAAATTATGCTCTGCTGACTTCTCTAACACTGCTTATATCATTCCCAACTTTAAAAGAATAAAAAACAACAATTTTTCCTAATAGATAAAGTAAGTAGAAATGCAAACATTATGAGAAATAGAAAAATATCTCCCAAAAAGGCAGGGACCATGCTCCTATTTAAAGTGAAGACACTTGAAGTTTGAATCCTCCAAGGACACACTTCTCCTGGTATTCCATCAGCACTGTTTCAAAGCAAAGTGATTTTCAAATACCCTTCATCTTATCTGGTGCTGGTAACCTTAGTGACTCATTTGCTTTGTTTGAGGCAACCATTACATGATTCCAGAAAGGAGCTGGGTGAATGGCTTATCTCTATGCATTCCTGTATTTCTTGGCAGCACTGGCTCATTAGCACCAATTTAGAGCCCAAAGCTTGATGCTGCTGCACTACACTTGTACACTACACAGAGCTCCAAAGGCTTTCAACCAGCAAGATCAGCACCCAGATCCAAGTTCACATCTACAGCATTGATGTTAGGCAGGTCTCAATTTACATAATTTACATGTACAAACTTAATTATCTACTAAAAACACATGCTATCTAATCTATCTTATCTACTAATCTAATCTATCTTATCTACTAAAAACACAATCACTAAAACCAAAAAAATTGCCAGTTCAGTTATTTATTGCAATCTAGCCAAGTCTAAATTTCTTTTTGAAAATTAAAGAAAAAATCCATGTAATGCATCCAAGAGGACGCAGGAAATGCAAGCATCAGCTCACAGCCCTTACTACTACAATATTCCAGATTTGAAAGGCAAAAAAAAAATAAAAGGAAGTTGCATATATCTGTAACTCAAAATACGTTGTGCTGCAATCAGCAATGTACTGACGCTCAGATACAGAGCACCATAATCAATAGAGTGCAAACATTGAAATTATTATCTGCAGATCTGCACTGCGCTCCCCAGCAAACTGACAAGCGCACAGAAACTGCTCCAGATGTGTTACAGTGATAAAGCCCACAGAATCTAAACGTGCAAAGTTCTCTTCCTCTCCATGTAACAATATGGTTCTTCCCTAGTTATGCCAGGACAGCATAAGTACTCCAACTCCTTAAAGTCTGCCAACTCTGAAGGCCAATTTCTAGATATACTTTACTTAAAGACAGTTTAAGAGCATTTTAGATACAGCCTCCATAGATGGTATGCTCAGCTAAACCTGACAGCCAGATTTAATGGGCACTCAGCTAAAAAAGCACACACCTGCTTCAGGGACATGCTTGCTTTTTTTAACTGTAAAGCTCCACAAATCCTTTGCTCAGTTTTGAAGAGAATGGATTCATAACAGACTGAAGACAGCTATAGAGTTTTAGCACATCTGCAAACAAGGTTCACTTAAGGAAGCAGAAGAAATATTCTTGCAGTAACCAGCACTAACAAGCCAGTGATACAGATACCACATAATCAGATACCTTGCTAACATAACCCAATTCCTGTGAAAGAGAATAACCACACAGCTTGTTAGGACTGGGTGTTACAGATTGAAGACAAAAATACAGAAATGTTTCAATATAACAGATGAATTAGTAGAGAAAGGAAAGCTGAAATTCTCCCAGACACAAGCGGTGTCCCCCAGGGCTCAGTACTGGGGCTGCTTCTATTTAACATCTTTGTTAACGACCTTGATGAGGGGATTGAGAGCACCTTCAGTAAGTTTGCAGACACCAAGTTGAGAGGGAGGGTTGATCTGACTGAGGGGAGAAAGGCACTACTGAGGGACCTGGATAGACTGGATCGATGGTCCAAAGTAAACTGTATGACTTTCAGTAGGGCCAAGTGTCTGATCCTGCATTTTGGTCACAACAACCCCAGGCAACCCTACAGGTGTGGGGAAGAGTGGCTGGAAAGCTGCCTGATGGAAAGGGACCTTGGTTCACTGATGGACACTGATGATTCGGCTGAATATGAGCCAGCAGTGTGCCCAGGTGGCCAAGAAGGCCAATGGCATCCTGGCTTGGATCAGGAATGGTGTGGTGAGCAGGACTAGGGAAGTCATCCTGCCCCTGTACTCGGCACTGGTGAGGCCTCACCTCGAGTGCTGTGTTCAGTTTTGGGCACCTCAGTACAGAAAGGACATGGAGGTGCTGGAGCAGGTCCAAAGAAGGGCAACAAGGCTTGTGCTCATACCTACATATGCACAGACCTTGTATGGCACATAGACTTTAGCAACTGTGCCTCCTGTAACTGCAACAATCAGTTACTACAAGTTAGCATGCGTGTATCTTAAACCACCTGGACATCCAAGAAACCATTAGCTTACACAAAGCTAAGCAAGCATGACAATTATAATCAAAAAGACAAGTTATTTTAGTCATGAAACCAATAGTTTTAAAGTGGATTAGGGGGGGAACAGTAGCCTTGCTAGAGGTCATCCTACAGTTTTATATATATGCATGTATGTATACATAAAAAGAAATAAGATGCATACGTTTTGTATCAAGTAACTCAGGTATTATTCCCTCGAAATTAAAAGCCATTTCCCTTGCAGTGATTATAAATTTATTGGACGTAAATATATGGAGAACGTGATGAAACACCCTACAAGCCCAGGCTGTAGTCAGGCTGCCAGGCTACAAACCGCCTGCTTAGCGAGCCCCGAGGCACCACAGAGAAAAAGGCGGTCCTCACAGCAGACTTAGCAGTAAAAAAGAAAACAAAACACTGCTAAGCTATGACTCGGAAAGAGCTCAGACTATACATACGGATATGAACTATATATCATCATAAAGGAGAGCAATAAGATAAAAACAGAAACAAAAAGAGCCTCATAAAAAGGACAGCTCAGCCCGGGAGCCCACAGCGGGAAGCTGCGACCCTCAGCGGCCCGACCGAGAGGCCCGGCAGCACTAAGCGCCCCGAAGGCGGGCGAGGAAGGAAGGAGGGAGGGAGGGAGGAAGGAAGGGAGGGATGGAGGTAAGAGCTGCGGAGGAGGCACCGACGCCCTCGCACATCGGCGAGGCAGGGACACGATGGACACGATGGGCCTGAACGAGCCCCGGTACCTCCCACAGGCGACCATCCCAACACCAGCAGCACCGTCACCCCTCCCGCGGTACCGGGCAGTACCTTGGTGGTGCGGATGTGCTCCATGACGGCCCTGAGCTGAACGCAGTACGTGCTGCCGCCGGGCCGGGCCGGCCGTCACCTACTGCCGCTTCCGGGGCGGGGCGGGGCTGGGCGGAGCCTACCCTAACTGCTTGCAGCGTCCCCTAGCGGCGGGAGGGTGCGCGGTGTGCCTTCACCATTTGCTGCGCATGCGCCTTCAGGAGATAGTGCCATATGGAGGGCGTGAAGGTGGCTTGTATAGAGTTGCGGAGTGTTGTTTCCTAATGTGATTGGTAGTGCTTCACAGTGCTTCAGTGTGTCCTTGTGGGAGCAGCGGTTGGGGAAAAAGGGCATGGGAGTGCAGTTCTAGGAGTTGTGGAGCTCAGTGCTGGATGCAGAGCTTCTCCGGCAGTTGCTATTAGGGAGACTGTAGGAAAAAGGATCGTTCCCTGGTTCCTTAGGCCTTGGATGGAGCAGAATCAGAATCGTTGGGGTTGGAAACGATCATCCAGTCCAACCTCAACTCATCCCCCGCACCACATCCCACATCCCTCAGTGCCACAGCTTCACGTGGAGGTGACTGCACCACCTCCCTGGGCAGCTGTGCCACTGCCTCTCTGCTCTTTCTGAGAATAAATTTTTCCTAATAATCAACCTGAGCCTGTCCTCCAAACTTCCACCCCATAGGGGCCCTTTATGACACAATGCGTGCTGGAAAACAAGGAATTTTTAGTTTCAGGCTGCACTGAAGTAACAGTTATGCACCTCACAGCTGTGTGGGAGGCAGCACACAGAGCCCTGGTACCATAATTAAATGATAAAGCAGCTTAAACAATGGACTGCACCGCCAGCTCAATTAAAAATAGTGCAGCGCACAGGTTTTATACCAAATGAACTTATTTTATCCTCTTCTTAAACACCGAGCTTTCAGATGACTGAGCGATGATGCCCACAGGCCATCACGCGTTATTAAAATCACGCCTTTAGCGAGCCCCGTTTCCCGCTATACCGACACGAGAGCAGCAGGCCGCTCGCTCTCCAGCGATTCTCGAGGAGCAAGGCCGGCAGCTCGGGGCGCTGCCGCTTTAAGAGCGGAAGGTGGCGGTACCGCCATCCCATGGTGCATTGCGGCGGGCGCGCAGAGGGAGCGTGCTCTGTGGCCGCCCGTTCTCTTACCGCCGCCCTCGCGTTTGGAGGCGTTACGGGGCGCCATGTGGCGCTGAGGGCAACAGCCGCTCTTCGGGAGGCCCCCGCAGCCCTGCCGGGACCCCGCCGCCGCCTGACGCCGTCTCTCGGCACCGCTCTGCCGCCGTTCCCGCCGCCGCCATGTCTGCGGGTTTCTCCTTCGGCGCGGGCACCCTGGGCTCCGCTGCGGCCGCCGCCGCCGGAGCTGGAGGAGGAGGTGGGGGCGGTGGGTTCTCCTTCGGCACCACCGCGCCGAGGTAACGCGGCCTTTTCCCCCCGGCCCCTGTCGGCTGGCCCCTGTTGCCGGCCTCCCGGCCTGGCCCGCATGGGCCTCGGGGTGGGCGGGATGCGGGCAGGCGGGCAGCCTCGCGCTTGGGTCTGTCGGCGTTTTTCTGGCTGCAGCCCCGGCCCCGCCGACAGGACGGCCCTGGTGGCCGCGCGGCACCGCGTGCTGCGGCCCTTGGGCGCGGGGCTCTGTCCGGCCCTGTGCCCGCTGCGTTCGGGGAAACGGAGCGCCGCTGCTGTGCGCTGAGCTGCGCGGGGCTCTGCTGGCGGAGCTCTGTGAGTTATAGCTGAGTGCGAGGGCTGGTTTGTTCTTTTCCGTGTGTGTGCCTATGGATGTGTGAGTGCATACCGTTTCTTCTCATCTCCTTGCTGCTATGCTTCTGCTGAAGTTTAGGACTGTTACAGTGGAACTTTGGAGCTTTCTCAGTATTTTGGAGTTCTTCCCAAATCTGAACGTGCCAAAATAGTTGCTGAACCATAAGTGAGCTACTTAGGACGTTAATCTGGAATGGGTATGTTTTAGAATGCCCGCCCCGAAGCATTGGTAGGAATTAGCAGCAGGAAGGGGATGGGGGATCTTCATAGAATCCTTTGAGTTCGATCACCTTTAAGGCTCCCTTTCATTATCTGGGAGCGTCTTCTGGAGGTTGGTGGCACTGCCTGTGGGAAGAGGGCTGGACCTTGATGATCCTTGGGGTCCTGTCCAACCCAAGGCATGCTGTGATTCTGGGTTTAAAGGGCATTATTGCTGTTTGGAACCACTTATGGGAGAGGCAAGGCTTCAGTGTCTCTTCTGATGCCTTAATTGTCCTGTTGTCATAGATTCATGATGTATTTCTGCATATTCTTTCCTCTACAATAAAGCTTTTGTTGGCTTTGTTAAGAATTTTTCCAAGTTTCTTTTGTCCTATACCTGTTTAATACTGAGTTCCTATGAGTAAAACAAGACAGTCCAAAATTTTTTTATTCCAAATCATTATTTTAATTGTACTGTCATAATTGAGAACTTCTTTTGTCTGGTTGATGGAGTTAGTACAAACTTCCTGTAGCACTTAAATGTTTTTATAGGTGTTTATTTTTTTTGCTATTCTATCTTGCTTTTTTATCTGTTTAAAAAAAATAAAGTAAGCATATAACAGGTGCTAATTAATAGTAAAGATGTGCTTGGCATTTTTATTCGTATCTTTATTTCTACAAGTAGGCTGAGTCTTCAGAGCTATTGGTCAGGGAGCATCGCAGAAGCCTTTTTACTGTTGGGTGGTAAATGAAAGAATCTTGAGCATCCCTATGGGGTGGTTTACTTGAAAATGCGTTTAAGACTTGAAGAAGAAGCTGATTCTCTTCTCTGCAGGGCTGAAGGGCAATATTGCCAGGTGCTGGGGGAAAGGGGGTTTTGTTCTGTTTTCTAATCATAGGTATTACTGATCACCAGTGGTCAGTCACAGTTTATATTCTTGTGCCTTTAAGGAGTATGGTATGGCAGCCCATGTAATTCCTGTGTTAAATCTCTAGCAGTTCCAATGCTTTGTTTATCAGTGTATTCCATATCCAGCTTTAGCCCGGTATGGTGCTTTGTGAGGCAGCCTGATGTGGGTGACAATCCTGCCTATGCCAGGGGTTGGAGCTGGATGGACTGGAAGGTCCCTGCCAGTCTAAGCCATTCTATGACTTGTTTTAGCTCCAAAGTCTGAGTTTTCCTTTGGAGCCACCATGTCAAAGTGATGCCTTCCATCTATGGGCAGGTAGTAAATAATCCCTGTGGTCCATGCTTTCCTGTGCTGCCATTGGTTTGCCTCTATGTTTTGGCTTAGTTAAACTTTGTTTATTTTTAAATTTCTCTGTATTTACTGTCGTGTTTGGTTTTCATTTTCCCCATAATGCTGAGCTGTATCAGTTGCACCTTAGCTTTATTCTACTGGAATGCAGGGACTAGGAAAAAAATCATAGAAAAATCATCCTTTTCTGTAGTAGGAAAAGATGAGAAACAAGCTCTTAGCAAGTGAGAGAAGCACCGTGTTGTATATTCAGGTTGATAAACAATTAGGATGTGCTGCTACAGTTTGGCATCTTGAAATTCTGAGAGGGGAAAAAAAAGCTGAAAGCTTTGAAGCTGGACAATTATTTCTCTTTTGTCTTCCTCAACTTCTTGGCCTCTCTTTCCTGAGTTACTTACCTTTAAGGATGATTCGCATGTAGGCTTTGAACTTGAATCACTTTATAGGATCAGTTGTGTAGGTATTTCCAAGACCTGAAGTGTAGAAACCTGTGTCAGCCTTCTTAAGGATTAGCTCTTGTGATTAATGTGTTGGACACAGGAGCGGTGCTCGTACCGAAAGAGAGGAGGTGAGGAAATAGAGGATATTAAACATCCAAAACTTAAAAGACTGTTATGTTGAAGTCCAAACTGTGCTTTATTTCATTGCTACTGTTGTACTCTATGCCAGATGGCTCAGTTGAAAGAAACTTGTGTAGTTTATCAAGAGGTCTGCCTGTGGGAGCTGGAAGTTACTATAAAGAAATCATTCACATAGCTTTTCATCAATTAAGAACCAGAATTTTGTGATCTTAGATTAGTGTGGCTGCTAGTAGCTGTCACTTCACAGGTTAGAGATAATCATCGTTACTGTATTCCTCATATGCTCTGTGCAGTAACCTAATGCATTCTGTGCAAAATGTAAGGCTTGTCCTGTGTTTGCCATAAGATTTCTACAGTGTGTAGCTACCCAAAATAAATAAATATTTGCCTTTTGATTGCTAGATTCTGAGTCTCTCCTTTCTTTCCTGTATCTTCCCAGTGAAAACAGCTCTGGGAGTTAATTTCTTTAATTGGATTGCACAGTGTATTTTTGGAAAAGAATGTATTTGAAATGTAGATATGGGTCATCTGTGATTTGCATTTATGGGTAACAGTAGCAGTTTTGTTCCTGTTTCTTGCTAAGGCAGGACAAAGTTGTGCTGTTGGTGTGATGTGTCTGCATGCTTACTGCTTTGGAATGAAGTAGTGTGTGAGTTGAGGTTTCTGGTTAGACACATCTAGGAGTACTTTCAGTGTGCTTTGAGAAGATGTTCCTGTAGGTTTGTCATGTTTGTTCTGGCAATAGCACTTGTTCCTCTGTTCCCATAGTTCAGGGGAAATCATTAGGCAACTGACAGAGAAGTGCAAGTTTTTGGCTGTTCTAGCCATATGTAACAGTTCAGCCAAGTATTCAGCAGGTGCTGGACTCTGAGTCACAGCAGCTGTGGCTTCCAGGTAGCCGTACAAGTGAGGAAGGTGGATTCCTCTTTGGTTGGAGTGAGCTCTGACCATCCTGGTCTGCTGTGTTCTGTCGACTCGCAGAGGTGAAGTGTGGGAAACAGAAATAAGGGGGGGGTTGGATTTTTTTCCTTTTAAGAAATAATAAATGTTAACAGCCTTATTTTGTAATAGCTCTACAGGAGGACTTAATTTTGGAACTCTGGGTTCTTCCACTGCTACGGCAACCACATCAGCTCCTTCAGTGGGATTTGGGAGCGGGCTTTTTGGATCAAAACCAGCCACTGGCTTTACGCTGGGAGGCACCAGTACAGGTAGGAAAACACTTTTACAGCAGATGTGTGAAACAGTGGTGAAGGAATGTACCATATACACACAAAAACAGGGTTATCATAATGTTTGTTCATAGTAACTCAGATCTGTAGCTCAGAATATTATGTCACGTTGTTAATAAATAAATTTGAAAAACAATTTAATTGAACTGTGAAATAAGTTAGTAAGAAGCGTGCAGTACCAATGATGCAGAAACATAAATACAGCTACTAGAAGCTGTAACAAGGCATATGTATAAATTGTGCCATCATTTGAATCCTGATTATTATTGTGCATATATATTTTGCAACTGACCTCCTGTTCCAAGAGACTCAAAACTATGATTTGAGATTGAGATGTGTTTTGGTCTGAAAAATACTTAAATCAATGTGAAATTGTTGGTGTTGACGGTCTTGCAATAGTGAGTTTACTTGTATTGCCAACATTAATGAAAATAATAAATTGACTTTTTTTAGGTACATAGTTAAGTCTATAGTCCTCTAAAAATTGGTGTATAAAGTAATGAACCTTTTCAGCCTTGAGTTGTTTTTCAGTAATTGTGCACAAAGAGGAATTTTATTTTGGCCTCAGTATATTTGGACAGCACCTTTTTCTTCATCTATCTGAATAAATAGATTGGTTCTTAGAGATACCACTGTTAGAAATGAATTCATCAGTAGGCCAAAATCCTGTCCTGCTCTGCTGGGACCGTTTTGTCTTGGCTATTTGCATCATTTCTTTGATCTTCTAATTGTTTCAAGTCTGAAATTGCATGGCTCTGTGTTCTCCACCCCAAATATCCACTGGGGCAGTCATCCTAAGCTAAGACACAGCATTTCACAAAAATCTTGTAATCCTTTTCATTGTATTATAAATAAATTATAAATCCATTTTATGTACTGTCAGATGGCTGAAAAAATACTTGATAGAATTATCAGTCTTCATGTTGTAGTGTGCCTTCAACTATTTGAAATTTAGTATTGATGCATCAGCTTCACTGTTAATGGATTCTTGTAAAAATACATTGTTTGCTTTAAAGGCTTTATTTTAAAGGCTTTATACTTTGATTTGTGTAGCTGGGAGTTACAAATAGTGGTTTTGGTGTGGCAGTTACTTTGCTTTCAAGATGTTACATAGTGTAACATGTAGTGAAACAACACACCAGAATAAATATTTATGATTGTTAATAACATAACTGCTTTGTGGTCCTCACTGTTCTTACTCTATTTTTCTTCTTAAAGCAGGAACAGCAACAACCATTGCTCCAGCACTGACTCTGGGTAAGGACCTCATTTGGATGTTAATGATGTACAGGCAGAGAAGAAGTTGTTTAGTTCTTATAATGTAGAAGAATCTATATATCTTATAACGTGTGCAAGCTTTTTGCTCGCTGTTAATTGCAGTCTGCAGTGTTAAGGTAGTGAGCCAGAGTGCAGCTAAAGGGTTATTCCCTTGCTGTACAACAGTAAAAGTAGTCACAGTGAGAAGATAGGCCTGCATTTAAATCCCCTGATGAGTTCCATCCTTCAGCAGAGAAGTGGAGTCTGTTAGCAAAGAATTCTTAAGATAGAATTTCTTTCTGTCATCAACTTTGAGAGAACAGATCTGTTTGCTGATTTCCTCTAGTAGAAGTGTAAAGAGGTTTGAACTGGGAAGGGACATTAGGAATATGTTTCTCTGATGTATATGTAATAACTTTTTCAGCCATCATTAGAATTACAGGAATATGTGGGTGTTTTTATTGTTACTGAAACACCAGCAACTGAGCTTGATGTAATTAGAAGTGTTTGGGTCAGGGTGGTGGTGGTAGTGCTACAGGACAGACTGGTGTCCTAGAGCTTTGGAAGCTGTGCTAATTGGGAGGAAGTGGTACTGAAGAAGTAAATGAAGTGGATGGGAGAGGAGAGGAGCAGCTAAGCCAGAATGTAATCATATATGGCAGTGCTGTGCATGTGAATAGTAATTCTTTTCTGTGGTTGAATGAAATGTCATTGGAAACAGCTACACAGCACTTACTGAGAATAGTGTTTTTCTTATGCTTGTTATTGTGATGTTCTAGAACAGAAGGCATATTCTTACTGTGAAGTTGGCAGGAAGTAGAAGCTTTGTTTAACTTTGCAAGTGTTCAAAAGCAGAGTTGGAGGGAGTAACATGTCAACACATTTTTCTTGTTTGCAAATTGAAAGGGTACCTGTTCTCATGCCGATATGCACGTCCAGTGGAGAATTTAGTCTGTATTTTGGACACTATAGTTCCATCCACCAATATTTTGGTAGTTTTTTTCAGCCAGATCTGTTTGGTGGAAGTTCTTTTGCACTTTTAAATTACCTTTTGATGTAATCTATACTCATAGATTGTTTGAAATTCTGGAGAAAACATACTTTTGAAATGTATCTGAAGATGCTATGGAAATTTTTTATTGGCTGTAATTGGTCTCATGCAGTGATGCTAGTGACAGCTAAACAGATATAACTTAGAAGATAAGGTTAAGTACTCATTCTCAAACAAAATATCCACAAATGATAATTATTTTGGGGATTTCTTTTAGGCGCACCTGCTACCACATCAGCAGCTACCACAGGCTTTAGTTTAGGCTTCAACAAACCTGCAGGTTCAGCCACACCGTTTGCTTTATCTATTACTTCTACCTCAGCAAGTGGCCTGTCGCTATCTTCTGCTCTTACATCAACTCCTGCAGCAGGTAGGAAAATGTTTTGTTTTGTTTTTACAACGTAACTATTCTAAAACAGTGCTATGTTCTATTTTATTCTAGTACTTACGTGTTTTTGTAGTATTTCAGTAAGAAGGCTCATTGGATTTTTCTAGCTCTAAGTTTGAGGAGCCTAATGCAGGCCATCTTTACATTTATTTAGAGCACAATAGAGCCTGTAATTTAGGCAGCCTGTTATCCAGGTCATTAGGAGGGTAGCAACAGCTCATTTGTCATGTTCTACAGCTGAAAAATGTCTACCTGGTGTAGGCAGCATGAAATAGTTAACTAAAAGTGTAAATGAGATTTTTTTTTTCCTGTGTAGTTCTCTTACTGTCCAACACTTTCCATCATGCTACAACTCGCATAAACTGCATCATACATGATGATAATTAAGACCAGAGGGTTTTGTTTTGTTTTTTTTACCCCAGGAGCCTACATTTAAACAAGGTTTTGTGTCTTCTATGTTCTGTCACTTTATGCCAGCGGTCCTTCTCTGCTTCTGCCCTTTTCTGCCAAAGCTGAGACACTTAATTCCAGAACAATGAGATGTCTGTCTTTTTTTTTTTCTTTTCAATCTGACTCATAGAATGGTCTGAGTTGGAAGGGACCTTTAAGGTCATTTAGTTCCAACTCCCCTGCCTTAGGAAGGGACACCCCCCACTAGACCAGGTTGCTCAAAGCCCTATTCAGCCTGGCCTTGAATGCCTCCATAGAGGGAGCATTCTTTCTGGCAGCTCTCTGGCAACCTGTTTCAGTGTCTCACCACCCTCACAGTGAAGAATTTCTTCCTATATGTCTAGTCTAAATCTACCTTCTTCCAGTTTAAAACCACTTCCCCTCATCCTGTCTCTACATGCCTTTATAAAAAGTCCCTTCCAGCTTTCCTGTAGGCCCCTTCAAGTACTGGAAGGTTGCTATAAGGTCTCTTCAGAGCCTTTTCTTCTCCAGGCTGAACAGCTCTGGCTCTCTCAGCCTGTCCTCGTAAGGGAGGTGCTCCAACCCTCTGATCACCTTCATGGCCCTCCCCTGGATCTGTTCCAACAGCTCCATTCATTGTGTTGGAGGCTCCAGTATAGGATACAGTACTCCAGGTGGAGTCTCAGGAGAGCAGAGTAGAGGGGCAGAATTGCCTTTTTCAACCTGCTGGTCACACTTCTCTTGCTGCAACCCAGGATACAGTCAGCCTTCTGGGCTGTGAGCACACATTGCTGACTCATGTTGAGTCTCTCATCAGTCGACACCCCCAAATCCTCCTGAGGGCTGCTCTCAAGCCATTCTCCACTCAAACTGTATCTGTGCTTAGGATTGCCCTGACCCAGTTGCAGCACCTTGCACTTGAAAGTGAAGTGCTTTAATGTTTAACACAAACATTTTGGCATTTAAAAGGTCAGTAGTAGTTGTTAGATCCATTGTGCTGTAAAATCAGTGTGAAGTTCCAGATTATCTATCATTCTGGGTAGCTCTCAGAATTTTGCTACAGTTGCAGATAAACTAATGAAGCTTATGATATTGTGAAACAAAGTCACATATGGTTTGAAAGTCTCTGGTAGAAAGTCACAGAGAAAAAAACAATAGCTGAGTTTATTATTGAGTTACTACAAGGATTATTTCTTTATTTCAGACTTTCTGTAGATGACTTTGAATGCAGTGTCTACATGAAGCTTGTTTTTTACTGTTGGTTTTTTTCCTCTGCAGGTACTACTGGCTTTACCTTAAATTTAGGTGGAACAACTGCGCCAACTACAACTGCCTCCACAGGCCTGTCCTTGGGAGGGACGCTAGCAGGTTTAGGAGGTTCACTCTTCCAGAATACAAGCACAGCAGCAACAGGTAAAAGTTGATTTGTTTTTTCCTTTTCCTGCCTCAAAATTTTGTGATTTTGTAGTTGTATTAAATTATGATCTAAGATTTTATATAAAGTAAATCTTAATGCCATGAAAGTCATTTTTAAGCATCACTATTTGAAACTGTTGCTATTTGTAGAAAACAATCTGAAGTCCTTAGCTTCTTCCTAATGTTTAAACTTGTTTATTCTTTTTTTTTTAATGAAAATACAAGAAAAATCTTTGTAATAATTGACTCAAGGAAGCTGACTGTAAATGAGAGAGGGTGGTGTTGTCTTAATATCTCATTGATTGCTCCTTACATTGGTGGTTTTTAGTCTGAATAAAACCTTTGACTTAGTATTATCCTTTCAGTTATTTACTGACTTCCTGTCTTTGAGTTCTAGAAGAAAAATTAATATCTTGTAGTGTTGGGAACATGCTGCTCTTTATCAGAATGAAACAGAAAGGTGTTGACAATCCTGATGATGTTACCTATCTATTTCAAAAATATTGTAAGGAAATTACATTAAAAACCATATATAGTTGTATGAAACTTGATAAAATCTGTTTTTCTTTGTGCTTTTTAATCCAAATGCAGTAAATGGACTCTGAAATTGCAAGCAAGGTAGTCTGAGGTTTTAGTTTAAAGTAAACTGCTTTTTAAATGCAGAAATTCTGTTTGTGTTTCTTAAAAGGACTTGGGCAGAATGCTTTGAGCCTGACTTTGGGGACAACTGCAGCTCCTTCCAGTACTGCTAATGAAGGTCTTGGAGGCATTGATTTTAGTAGTTCTTCAGATAAAAAGAGTAAGTTTGTTTTTAAAATATTTAAAACCGATAACGTATGCAGTAGTTTATTGACAAAGTATCTGAGTGCAACAGATTGAGGACAGCAGAGACACTGTTTCACTGTGAGGAATGCGGCCTTCCTGGAATAAAAGACTCAGGGCTGATTGTTGAAAAGTCATGGCAGATTTCCTAACAGTTGCATCAGCTGGCCGCTAGATGGGGGAACAGTGCGATGTTTAAGAAATGCATTGTAAATACAGAAAGTGCTCACTGGAAAACAGTTTTCTCCAGCAGTAGCAGTTCTTAGACTTGTGGAGTGGAGATGGCTTTTTTTTTTTCTCTCTCTCTCCTCCTCTTCAAAACCTACAGAATAAAAATGTCCTGTTGTTCACCTGTTATTCTTCACCACAAATTCTTTCTAGTGCTGGGGATCTGTTACCCTCCGTTAGGTTGTTGACACTAGTTATTAAACCTAAGTCTGAGGTAGGTCCAATGTACTTAAATAAGGGAAAAGTGAGTATTGACAGGTGGTTGTTGACTTACTTGCCTTGATTTTATACATCTAAAGCATCTTAACTAAAGTTGATTATGAAATGCCTATTTTCTCTGGGGAATCAAAACTGTTAATTTAATATCTTTATTTCATTAAAGAGCAAATTATAAAACTTCTGAAATCAGGTATTCTGAAAACTAATAGAAGCTTCATGAAACCATCTTTACGAAGGACTGTGAGTTGTGGAAATGCAGAGCCTTGTGCTTGCATATTGGCTTTCTAAACTGAAGTGCTCAGCATGATGCTGACTTTCTCTTTTTTTACTTTGTTATTGAAAGTGATGAAAAAGCTCCAATTCTTAGGTTCTCATGGAGTTTCCATTACTGTGATATTAGGATTGCACAACTCTTCCATAACGTACAAGTATCTTAAAATATGACCTAGAGAACAACAGACTACTTCAGCATTGTTTTTCTCAGTTCTTTGGATGTAATCCCAAAGGAGCTGATTACCAACTTCCTGCTGTGTACTGAATATGGGTTGGTGGGTGTGGGTGTGTGTGGCTGTTGCTGTCAGGAGGATGAGCAAAGAGATTTCTAAACTAAGCAGTAGAAAATGCTGAAGGGAACTGCTTGAGTTTTCAATTATAAAAATTCAGAATTTAATTTAGAATTTCTTGTAACAGGTAGTAGTGACCTAAGAAGCCTTGACAAATGTTCCTATTTCTGCAGTACTGCTTATTTCTTGATGGTACAGTTGCCTGTAGGACTACATGAGAAACTGCAATAAGAAAGGTTTGAGAGTGTTGGTTTTATGGCTTGAACCTTTTTTCCTTCCTGAAGAAAAGGAAGGAAGAGATGTGGCTACTAAAAAGAAGTGCTTGTGAGATTACTGTCCATGGAGTTCCAGGACACATGGGCACCTTTATGCTGTCTCTGGAATTTGCTACACGTATGTTTTTCGACTTGAGACTGAGGAGTGGCTGCCTAGTATTTCTTTACAGATGGCTGCTGGGAGTTATTCTTGTATGTCAGTTTTTCTTGTATGTGATCAAAAAAAGTGAGCATATGGTCAGACAAGTAGTTAGGTATGATTTCAAATCTGTCCTTCACTTTGTAGGTACTGTTCAGACGAAGTTTAGCTAGAAATATTAGTGACTGAGAATGCAGATTAAACTTGCTTTACTACCTAGGCTGTCAGCTGAGAAAGGATTCTGAATTCTGGTATTTGTTTGGGTCATCTTTTTTTTTCATCCCAGTTTTGTGCAGCTTCTGTTTGGTTGTTGGTTTTGTTTAGGTCGAGTGGAGGAGGAATGGGACATTGGTTGATTCTTGTTTGTTCATTTTGCAGAAGGTGTAGGGAATAGGTATGAGACCCTGGGTTCTGGTACTGGATGACAGAGTGCAGATCTAAGCAATTACTTCTTTTTAAACAAGCGGCTTCTCCTGGCAGGAGCACTGGCTTGTGCAGCTTAAGTTTTGGTGTTCACATGACCTTCGTGGCTACCTTCTAGTTTGATGATGCTGTGAGGATTTGAATGGCAACCAGTCTGAGCAACCTTACTAGCAATCTGCTCTGATATGAGGTGCAACTTCTGTCCATGGCTGTGACTAGAAGTACTGATGGCTTGCCTGTTCATGTTTTACTGCTTTTAGCTCCTTTCTGTGTAGTTCAAGAGAAGTGTTTGGCATCTTGGTTAATTTTCTCATCTAGATGTGCAGATTTGTAGTTTGGAGTCTATAAATGATAGATAAGCAGTAGCACCTTTGGTTCTGTGAAACCATATTTATTCCTGAAGAATGTGCAATAGTAGAGCTCTTAAGAAAATCCAGCAAGCTTAAGCAGGGATGGATTTCTTATGTAATTGCAGTAGCTTGTGCATTTGAAGGGGCTTGTAAGGTGACACAAGATGTTTTACGTTAATTTTTGTGCCAAGAGATTAACACCTGAACGCATGAGTCATTGTTCCTGAAGAGACTTATCTCTGAAGGAGAACAAATGAAAACCTTTCTCCTTATATGCTGCATTTATCAAGAAAATCGATCAGATTGCAATAATCATTTCTTAATGGAAAATCTTATTAAAGTTTTTGTCAATTTTTCTACGTGTTTTCTCATCTACCATTTTTATTTTCTAGGTGACAAAACGGGAACAAGACCAGAGTAAGTGTTCAGATTCTTTGCATTCAGTATCTTAAGCTTAGCTGTTTTCGATATGCTGCCTCTTCTACTACTTTAATCTTTGAAAAGGCTTAAATAAATAACCAGTTCTTGTGATATGGGTCACTTAATAATGGTGGTTCATCCTTTTGAAGCATTGCATTTGAGCAAGTTGCAATACCTACGGCTCAGCTGCTTTGTACTTGAAACTGGTCACATAGACTGAAAAATGGTTTCTGTAAATTATGTGCAGTATTTACACCATGGTGTTAGATACTCTCATAGTCTCGGGCTATTAATTAATTCAAATCATTCCTAGATGGATGCAGCATGCATGCAACAGGTGCAAAGTTGAGTGATTGGTCACTTGAAAGTTTTCATGGTACTTCATAATCATGTAAAAATGCTTGACAGTATTGAAGCACCATCTAAACATGCATTGTTTCTTGTAGAGACAGCAAAGCACTAAAGGATGAAAACCTACCTCCAGTAATCTGCCAAGATGTAGAAAATCTACAGTAAGTAGTGTTTATTTATGACAGTGGTGTTGCTAAGTACTGTATTCTGTTAACACTCTGTAACAACAGGGTAGAAAGCAGTAGAGAACAAAGCAGACTGTGCAGGATGACTTATTAGCCTGAGGCTGGCAGGAGATTAATGATGGGAGCAGAGTAGGTGAATAATTCTAGTAGCTGATGTCCCAGGCTATCTTTTGCCACTTCAGTTTTCAGTCCTGTTTCCACAAACAGGCGTGTCCAAGAAACACACTTCTAGAAGCTGATCCAGCCCTCCCTGGGAGCATTAAGCTTCTTGCGTGTGTGTAATAAGTATCAAATTCTGTTTGCATGTACACTATGGATCTTGCATAGCATGAACAGAACTGCAAGCTAGCCTTGATTCAGGCAGGAAAGAGGCAAGTTATACAGTCTCTAACTAGACTATGTTTTAGAGTATTTGTGAGTTCAATGTAGAAATTACTTCATATACTTTTAGGTATATATAAATTGTAGTTCACCTATCAGGTGCAGTGTAAAATGTCTATACAGTTACTATTATAGTCTTGTGTTTTTTGCTGATTTACAGTATTAGCATATTAAGAGTTAATGTTACTCTGCATTTTACTATTCTGTACCTGGTTTTTGGGAAAATTAACTTCATTACTATTTGAATAATGCAACTAAAGTAAACACTTCAGTACTTTGGGTTGAGTACGTTATTTTCTTTCCCACCACCTCCTTTTTTTTTTTCCCTTTCTCTAGGAAATTTGTGAAAGAACAAAAACAAGTTCAGGAAGAAATTAGTAGAATGTCATCTAAAGCAATGCTTAAAGTACAGGAAGATATAAAAGCTCTGAAACAGCTTCTGTCTGTAGTTGCCAGTGGATTACAAAGAAACACTCTTAATATTGACAAGCTGAAAATGGAAACTGCACAGGTATCATATTTTTTTCTTAAGTAGAGCTTGAATGTTTGCTGTGGGATATATACCCTTCTTTATCAGTCAAGTTAAGGTGTCGAAACTCCAAACTGAAGCAGTTGTAAACAAAGTGAGAAGTTGAATCCCTTCTGATCTTCTTGAAATTACAGGAGGTGGCGACTGACTGAAATCTGTGATGCCAGTATTTTCAGCTAAGTGTAACAGCAAGGAGAGCTTTATTCAGGAAAGCACTACACTTACGTAGGCAACAGAAGGAAATAGGCACCCACTCTAGTTTGATTTCAGTTGCACATTCAACTGCTAGTGAAGGTTTTTTTACAGTCATGTGCTGAGCAGTGGAAATGCAAGTATGTTTTCTCATCACTTAAAAAAATAAATTAAAAATATTAGGGATAAAATGTCTAGTTATGTCCAGTATTTATTTAATGAAGAAGTCAGCTCTATCCACTGGTCCTGGTATTAACTGTCTAACTAGCATAAGTTCCAGTTTTGATTCAAGTGCTTTTGAAGTTAAGCTTGGTGTCGCTCGTTCTTTCATCTGGCTTGTTCTGACTGCTTGCTTTGTCTATAAGTGTATTTCATTCTAAAATGAAAATATGCTCCTAAATTTTGAAAGGAAATACTCTGTAGTTGTGCTTTGGTAATTATTTGCTGTGAAAGCAAAAAACTTGTTAGTAATACTCTCGTATTTCCTTATGATTAATAATAGAACTAAGCACTGAGAAATGATTAATGATAGTATTATTAAAAAGTATTAAAGAGAATGTCTAGTCTAATCCTCATGCTTAAAAGATCTTTTCCATAGGAAAAGAAGCATTATCACACTACTAAGCCTTTTTTAAAGGCAAAATAGCCCTTTTTGTTATTTTTTAGGCGTGTTACTTTCTTGCATTTGACTGTTGTTGTTTTGTTTTTTTTCCCCCTTAGTCTTTACTTCAGATAGCCTGTTAATTTGTTACAACAGAATGCAAACCTTACCTGTGACAGTCTCTGCCCAGAGCAGGAGAGTTGGACTAGATGATATTTAAAGAACTAGATGATCAGCAAGCTTTCAGGGTGCACTGCTGCCTGTTTCTTGTCTAAACATATTTTGGTATTTGCAGTTCTTCAACCTCATGACAATCTGTTCTCTGAAGAATTTCTGGTCATATTCTATCATAGTTTTAACTGACAGAATGTTTTCTTCCCATATTTGTGGATTAACTGCAGAATTGTAGTTATTTTTCTTTTGAACACTTAATTCAGAACCTTACGTTTTATTAATTTTCCTCATTTATTTAGGAGCTAAAGAATGCAGAAATAGCATTAAGAACACAGAAAACTCCTCCTGGTCTCCAGCATGAAAACACAGCCCCAGCAGAGTGAGTTACTGTTGCTTATAAAAAAGAAAAAAAAAGAAAAAAAAAAAAAAAAAGGGCAATAATATAACTTCCTAAGTTGACACTTTTTTTTTTTTTCTTGTAATGTCTGTACTGAATGCTTCATTGTATGAGTGCTTATTGGATCTCAGGCATGAGAAATGCAGTCCTTGCTCTTTTTCTGCTAGTAGAACAACATCAAAAATGTCATTAAAACATACCTGCTGCAAGTAATGAAATGAATGCAGACAGCTAACGTGGTGGTGTGTTCTTTGTTTTCAAATGGTGGCAAATCCATGAAATCATATGATTAAACTTCACTGTTTTACTCACCTAGCTACTTCAGAATCTTGGTAGAGCAGTTTGAAGTACAACTGCGGCAGTATAGGCAACAAATAGAAGAACTGGAAAATCATCTTGCTACTCAAGCAAATAATTCACATATAACTCCACAAGGTAAATGTTTCTACTTAAATGTTTCAGACACAAAAGATAATATTATGCTTATAGTAGGCTTAATAATGAAAAACTAAAATTAACAGTAATTAATCTCCTTACTTAATGTACAGAAACAAATGTTCAGGTAAATTCTGTGGCTTGGAATATAGCCTTGAATTTGTAAACTCTTTTAAGCTTTGTAAAATGAATTTGTTTCCTGAGATGCAGTTTGTGTGCTTGGTTTGTGTCATTTGGAAATTTTGGAAGGTGTCTAGGAAAACAAATCATAACTTCAGTCCATCTGAAAATTAGGAAGTAAAGAAATGCTATATTCTTACACTCATGTTGTCTGACTTTTGTTCTTTCATGAGAGTGGCTTCTGAGTCTTTCCTACATTCAGCTAGGGCTCCTGCATGGGAGCTGTGAATGGAAGTTCAGGGCTCTTCATGGGACTAGGGCACATCTGGGACCTTTTGAGAATACTTAAGAGCAGTTCTGTGCTCCCTTTCTGGCAGTGTGTATGCATTTGCCATCTTGTTGTCCTTGTTTACGTTCCTAATGAACTCATAAACATCAGAGGAATCACCCTGCTCTGCAGTCTTTTCTTAACTCGGCCCAAGTTTTCCTGGTTGTTTGGTTAGGGTTTTTTTTGTTTGTTTGTTCTGCTTCCAGATCACTCATTTCATTTGTTGTTGTGTAGCGTTCTTAGAGGTTAATGTTATAGTGAGAAAATCTGATTTCATTTCCATTTGGTAAGCATAAAAGTGGGAGCATTAACATCTGTGATACCCTTCTGGCTAGGCTGGGTCCTAGCACCTCATGGTCTGGCACCTCGTGTCCTTGTAGTGCTCTGTCTGAACAGACAAGCAGTCTGTCTGCTCTGGCCAGTCACAATCAAAATGAGGACTTTTCTTAGTCAGAGCCAGCTTCCTACAGATGTTGAAGAAGACTTAGTCTTTTTGTTGCTGTGTCCCTTTATCCAGATCTCTGATAAGAGGTTTTCCCAAAACAGTGTTCCATAGACTTTTCAGCAATGTACTGCTGCAGTGTAAAGTTCTTTGCTTGCATGGGCGAGGACTGATCTGCTGTGCCAGTCTGCTGTCAGCAAATCTAGTCGGCTGTGTATTCTATGTGTGGACAGCTGACCTATCAGCATACAAGAGAACTCAGAAATTATGACCCGGAATGTCTTGAATTTTGAAGCGTCTTGAGTTTGGTATCAGTAAATTGGCCACATCTTTCCAAAGAGTCTGAAAGCAGTGTTCCTAGATTCCACTGGCTCCACATATTTACAGGATGACATACAAAAGCTCCCCAGCTTCTCTTCTTCAAAAAGAATTGTAAGTTCTAATTGAGAAGTTCCCCTGTGGAGCTGCAGATACTTTTGGTACTCAAAATATCTCATCTTCTGGAAATTTATGGCTGTTCTTTGGATTTCAGTGGCTAACGTGCCTCCTTCTAGAAATATGAAGCAATCTAATCTCAATGGAAGATCCCTACATTACCTTCCCATCTGTCATTTTGGTACATGCAGTTCTTTTAAAAAAAAAAAAAAAAAAAAAACTTTTTTGTCAGCACCTTATTTTACACAAACCTTCTGAGATTTCATCTTTAATCCTAAAGGTTTACATTATTTTAGATACACTGAAAACAATTTCATATTTGTGTGGTAAGTAGGATATTGTAAATCTAGGAATTTATGTAGGCAACAAAGCTCCACTGGTATAGTTTACTCAGTTTGTGGTATGTTTGTGTGTAGAAGGAAAGAGTTTCTGTAATGCTTGTTAATCATGTTTTTTAAATATATGTAAGGCCTCTATTCTCTCATCTCTTTGCAAAATCAACTGAGCACTCTACTGGATTTACTGAGTAGAAAATATATGCAACTGGGTTTCTCACAGACATTAATTTATTTTCATATAGTCTTTCTGTGCTTTGTTCTGTGTGGATTCAGAGTAGGCTTCTTTCTATAGTATAAACACTAAACCTTTCCTCCTGGAAATAAGGTTGTCATTTACCAATATTCTGTGTGCCTTTTCCAGATTTGTCTATGGCTATGCAGAAAATCTATCAAACGTTTGTAGCTTTAGCAGCACAACTTCAGTCCATACATGAAAACGTAAAGGTATGTCACGTTCTTATGTGTTTAGTGAAAGAACTGGAGAGTCACTGTTAATAACTGATACTGTATCTTCAAGTATGCTTTTTTCTGTTAAATTGTTTAAAAACAAAAAAACAATTGTCTTATATGCTTGGATTAAAAGGATAGCTTTCATTCAGCTGAAGTTTAATTTGAAACATCTGTCTGTAGTGATGGTGGCAGCTGAGCTGTCACTTCAGTTACAAAATGTTTTTAATGTAATTTCTTTTCATTGTTAATCAGTTCTTGATTTTTTTTTTTTTTTTTTTTTGCTCGTGTGGATATGTTGTGCTCAGTGACATCTTGATGTCAAGCAAGGACAATCTACACATGCTCTTACTCAAATAGGTAGCAGGAAAAAGAAGATACTTATTTTTTTTCTTACATGAAGGGTGTTGGTGATAAGTGTCTTCTGGCTTTGTTTTCTATAACCTGGTTTTCTTGAAAAGTTGCATATATTTATATATATATATAAATGTGTATATATATATTTATATATAATATATATATATATATATATAAATAAATATGTATATATATATATATATATATTTATATATATATATTATATATAAATATATATATATATACACATATATAAATATATGTAATGACTACCGCTGAAAGAATGCTTATGCAGTAGGGCACCATAGGAGCCAAGTTAGACTTGAGTTTTCCACCATAGGCTCCAGCTTCAGTTTCTCATTACAGTTCTGGACAAACTGACAGTGTCAGTGTTTTATAGTCTCAGAAGTGTCAACTCTTCATGGTAACAAAAAAAGCAAGCTCCAACACATTAAAACAGCAAAGTGCAAGTCTTTGGTTTTGCAAAATAGGTTAAAAAAAAAAAAAAAACCTCTGCTTTTTTTTCCCCTAAAATTTATATTGCTAGTTCTGTAAACACTTACAGACATTGACTTTAAGGAAAAGTTAAGGAATGCTAAAGCTCTTGTAGGAATTATATTCTTTGTATCTTGTTGCTTTGGTCAGCATGGATATTTACTGGATTACAGCTACCTACCATCAGGCTTTTGTGCTCTGGTTAACTCGTTTTGTTACCAGGTACAGAATAGATCAGCTTCTCCTATAATTTCAGCATAACTAAACAAAAAGGGTTCCAAAAGTGTTTTATGTTTCTTTCTCCTAAGATCTGAGTGTGACCAAAGTTGTGATATGATCTGTGTGTGATGCATGTCTTCTTTGATATGAAGAGCTGGATTAGTATGCAGGTGTTAGCAGTGATAGCTTCAAGTAATTGGTTGGCCTGACTCATTATGAAAGAGGTTATTTTTTTTATTATTTCCTGAAAATAAGGGATTGTTTGAAGGATTTTTCTTGTTGGGAGTCTCAGTCTCATGAGTGCGATGGCTGATACTTTGGAAGACAAAATTACAACTAAAGCTTCAAAATGAGGGAAATGAACATACTGCAGAGGGACATTCAAGCGGTCTGATTTGGTTTATCAACTGATAGGAGACATTAGGAGAGTAGAGCAGTTTTGAAAGTGCTGCCTCTTCATCATTTGATGGTTCTAATATGATTTATGAAGGCAGAGCTATCACTGCAACTCGTTCCTTTATCTGAAGAAGGCTTTTTGGCTTGCATGTATACTTCACCTCAGAGGTCTGAAGTTGTGGTAAAATGTGGCCTGAAACTTCTTTGCACAGGGTTAGCTGATAAATGTATTTACATAATGGATGCATTTTTATATCCAGATTCAGTGAAACGTAGAATGTGCTTGGGCACAATAAGGTGGAGAACTTAATTTAATCATTCTGCCTTAGGACCTGCTCTGGATTATCCAATGCCATTTCTGAGCTCTGGCATTGTGTTACATCTCATCAAAGTTCCACAGGCATCTTTTCTCACCAAAGATAGCAGTCCTGTTCTGGTGATGAGAGAAATCTTTGTTTCTGATGGGTGCGATTGCTGATAGATTCAGACTTAAAACCCAGAGTAAGAAGCCTTTCTGAGAAAAGGAGCACGTTTAACCTTTGTAAAACAAGCATCTGCTTAGCCAGAATCTTGGGAAGTAGTATGTCTTCATAAAATTCAGTTCAGTCTACTGGGTTTCATTTTGTTTTTTAGTAACCCTATTTTATTTCAGGATATTCTGTTAATGAAATCAGTTTTACCAGTTTGTTAAATGAAGTCATTTAGTCCTTTTATGTTACCTAAGATATCCGTATTTCCCTCATCTGTGATAGAGGTAGAAGTGCTTCATAAGACAAAGTGAGGTATTGGGACAGAAGGTGGGGTCTTGAGGTGAGGGAAAAGGAAACAAATTTGGTAGCCTAAAGCGAAAGAATGAGTGAGTGCAAATGCAGTATGTTACCTAGCTAACAAAATGTATCAAAAACAAGAATGACTCTTAAAGCAATACATTCTTTGAGCTTGTAGTGAGAAGTGCAAGCAAGGGAAGACAGAAGTAGAGGTGAAATAGAGCAGAAGATATTTTAATGTGATCAGAGTAGCACAGAAGGAAACTTGTTATGATGAATAATGCTGCTGTATTTTCTCTTTGCTCAGCTAGTGTACTGACAAAAATCAAATGGTGTTGATTTACACCTACTTTAAAAGACTTTGATATTGTTCTGAACGTCCCTCTATTACATTTAACCACTTTGCAGCATATAAGCAAAGAAAAACTTATGGCTGTGGAGTTTCTAACTTGACTGGATCCTTTCAGGTCTTGTTAAGAAATTCAAAGAAATGATATTTATAACTTGGTCTCTTTCTTTTTTTCTTAGTAAGTTACGCTTTTATGTCAAATATACTGAACTAAAATGGCTTCCCCCACCCCTTCAGATGCTCAAAGACCAATACCTTGGCTACAGGAAAACCTTTCTGGGAGATGCCATGGATGTGTTTGAGGCAAGACGAACAGAAGCTAAGAAGTGGCAGAGCGCGCCACGCGTTACCACTGGACCGACCCCTTTCAGCAACATACCAAATGCAGCAGCCGTTGCCATGGCTGCCACACTTACTCAGCAGCAACAGCCTGCTACAGGTCTGAGTGCATTCAAGTTATAGATTATTAGTGTTACAACAGTAGTCAATTTGTGTAACATTTTCTATGCAGTCTTCCTTTGTGTTAGACTAAAACTCTAAACGTTGTGATGAGTAAAGTTACTGATGCATAGCCAATAGAAAAAGCAGGGTAGACTTAGCAATAATTATACAACAGATACTTAAACTTGTGGATTTATTTGTATTAGTGATATTTACTGTATTGTTCTAATTTACCCCCTTGGAATGTGAGTCTTTACTCTTTGGTAACATCTCTGAATACGTTTAGCGTAGCCTCTTTCCAGAACTGTGTGGTTATAGTGAATTATTTAAGAATCAGTAAGGAGAGAATATCTAAAGACACATCACCCTTTTTGTGTGTAAAATGAATAATGCATTTTTATATGGCACTTTGGAACTGTAAAATGAAAAATGCTGTAGAACAGGAAGGATAGTTGAACAAAAATCTGTAGGGATAGGAGTGTGGGTGTCTGACTTATTTTATAGCCAACCCAGGGTGATGCTGGGGTAGTTTTTGCAGGCTGTTCTCTTGTTGTGAATATTAGTAGAGAAAGTAAAGTGGATTGGTGATTCTCTGTAATGCATGTATACGTAGGAGGAAATTAAAGCAGAAGAAATACCTGATCCACTGCCAATAAAAAAATTAATATGTACAGCAAAAGTAACTTTTGGCACCTTAATTGACGTCCTAACCAATGCTTCTCAGAGAGGGATTCTTGAACATAGAGAAGTCAATTGGTGTATAATTATTTGTCAGAAATAATAGCCTTTCATTTAATTTTACTTGAACATGCATTGGCAAATTATGAGAAGTTCAGTTAGCTGCATTCTAATGCTTTTCTAAGACGTTTGCCTCTTTGTACTGGAAGCCAAATTAGCAACTTTTCTCCCTCCCTTGTCTTCTAGCAGTGATCAAACTTTGAAAGACTGATAAAAGACTTGCTTAACAATCACTCTAGGAGTTTGATTTGTTAGTAGGCAGTCCTTGTCCTCTCCATAGAAGGGAACTAGAACGTGCTTCCAGTCCTGGCAAGGAGATGAGCTTAAAAGACAATTATGCCAAAATTGTTTGAATGCAACAGAAAAGGAAGTTATGAAACGTTTATATTATTAATTTCTATTGTAGTCTTTGTTCTTCCTTGTTTTGCTGCTATCTTGATTCATGGAAGTCCTGTTGAAGTGATGCCAACAGAAGATTCTGCTTTTATACAAAAACATTACGAATTGTAGTTGCACTGGTAGTTTTTTTTTTTAGGCTTCCACACTACCATCCATATTAACGTTACCAAAATAGTTCCTTTTCCTTTCATCCTTCTCCTTGTGTCTTTTTTTTTTTTATACTGTCTGTGATCACTATAGGTTTCTGTGTGCAAGTCACACTATTGAGATGTTGAATTTAAATTTCTACTTACATTTTCATGAATTGTGGCAAAGGGATTCAAATCTCCTTTTCTTGGTCCTGTTTTGAGATAACTGATAATAACTTCAGTAATTTGCCACTGATGGCAAGACATGAATATTCCCTTAGGAGTAGGAGTGAACAAAATGTGGACTTGGTATTTATCAACAGGTGTGAGGTAAGGTGACTTCATACCTCAGAGCTTTTTTGTAACACACCTTTGTAGTGCGAGGAGCCAAAGGGCACAACGTTTGTGTGGGTTTTTGGTTGTTCTTGTTTTGTTTGTTTTTTTTTTTCATTAGGTTGGTTTGGTGGTGGTTTATTTCCATTTTTTTTTTTTGTTTGGCTTTTTATCTTGACAGTGTATCGAAAGCCAAAAATGCACCAGCTGCAAAAAGTGGTGCTGATAGAACAAAGCCATCAAAACTTATCTTGCACATACCAACAAAAGTAGACAAGAACTTAAGTTTGCTGCTTTTTAAACTGAAATACTGTTGCCCTCCTTGAAATTTGTTTGATAAACTGGAGAACTTGAGGTAAATGATGTTTTGAGTGGCACTTCTGGAGCACTTAAAATATCACTTTAAAAAATAGTTAGATGGAACGTGAGGTCATCTTACCTACCCTCTGGCTTGACAGCAAGTCTGAACTGATCCAGAATGATCTTCACGTCTTAGAAACTTGCTGTGAAGGAACACTTCATTATCTTCCTAAACTACTGATGATAGTTCTTGATTTGCTCTCAACACCTTACCTGAAACTTCTTAGCATCAACTTAAGACCACCACTTTTGTTCTTCTGAGTGGAGAAGAGTCTATTATTTCAGTTTTGCAAGAATCTTTAAATATTTGAAGATTGCTTCTTCTTTCTTTCCTTTTCCTTCCTTGAGGAAAAACATTCAGTGCCATTTCCTGCAGTAAAACTGCAAATGCTTGCTTGATTTAACTTTGTGTTGTTATAAATTTGATAATCTATCCACTGGAAATTAATCATGCATATTCCTTTGGAAGATTTAGATCTTTTAGAGTCGGATATAGGAAAGATAATAGAAGGTTATGAGAGAAGTAAGGTGTATGGAATGGAGAAGAGGGACGGTCTGTGTAATACCTGACCTGCTGTTGCTGTTTTTAAGATAAAAATAAAACAAGACAATTAATCTGGACTTGAAAGTTTTGTTTTTTACTTAAAGTGTAATGTGTGGTACTGTAATATTGGGGGATCAGGAAGGTTAGACTCTTCTTAAAAAGTATTTGATGTTTACATGGTTAAGTCTATTTTGTAAGGTTAAGTTGGAGTTACCTTTTTCAGAGAAAGGACAGTAATTTATTTGAAATTTGTGTTGAAGTCAAAAGTTTAGTAGCTACATCTAAACTTGGATATATGGGATCAGGGGGCTGTTTCCCCAGTTCCTGGGTGTTGATATGCATCACATCTGTTTTCTGTGTGCCAAGGCATGTCTGACTTCTATTGAAACAAAGCCAGTAGATCCTGGCCATATGGAAGTAAGCTTGCAAAGATGCACTGCACTGATCTCCTGGGGTAGGTAATCACGATCCCAGGATTGTGATGTGCACAGTAAAGCACAATTCTCGTGCTGTTCTGTTGAAGCTAGAGTTAATAAAATTATGTTTATCTTGTCTGCATGCAGCTTTTCTCCCTGGTTTAGCACTTCTACTCAGACCACATCTTTACTGATAGCAGTGGGGCTGGTTATGCTTTTGTGCAGTAGTAGCTACAGTTCTAATCATAGCCTCCTTTGCATCTTCCCTGAACAGTTTTTAACAGCATGGAAGTTAAAATGATGGTGGCTAGTTTACTGCTTACTATTGATGAGTCTAAAATGAAAGACGTTAATGGAAGCAACTGCCTAGTGAGCTAACAACTGTGAATCCATGAGACTGAAACTGATGTTTTTCTGGCAAGACTAAGTTGTCTTAATGCTTTTCAAGTTCACCTTCCCTCTGCTTTCAAGAAAAAAAACCAACCCCCCTCCCCAAGAACTTAGTTACTCTCTCCTTGACTGGTGAAGTGCAGAGTTGGTCAATGTGTAATCAAGCTCGTAGCATACTTACTTGTGTTTTGACTTGAAAGAGTTGATAGAAAATGATACTCAAATCTTCATAGCACTTAATTTTTTTTACTGTGTAATTTGGTACTAACCTTGGTTAAAACTAGTCAATGTATTACTTTGTCAGAATCAGATCCGAGTTGTGACACTGAATTTGTTCATTGTTAGGACCAGCTGTGATTTAAAAGTTGAAGAATGTCACTTTGGTAAATTTTGCTGACCTGTCTGGACTCTCAGTTGCGGGTCCAATTAACGAAACTGAAATGCTCTACAGGGCAAATATAGCAAGTTAGAGGAGTGTTAAATTACATGTTTTAAAGAATTTGTCTCGTACCTATAGTAACCAGAAGTGCTAATTTTTGCTAGTACTTCCGGCATTGAGGAATCTTTTATTACTGGCTTTTCTTTTTTTGCTATTGAAAATTGTTTACTTACAGTAACTTTAAGTAGTGATGCCTTCAGCACAAATTATGGTACAAATCAGCAAATATCAAATACTGTTGCTCAGTGAAAAGCTTGTTAGCCTAAGAGATGTGATCCTGTTTTATATGTTTTTTACTGGCTCTTAAAAGCATATTGCATTTGGAGGGGGAATTAAAAACCTTGCCTGGAAGACTGTAATGTTTTGTTTTAAGGTCTTCTACTAACAGTGCCTCCTACTGAGATAGAAAACCTGTGCACTCTGAAAGAACTGGATATGTGTTTTGGGATTCTTTTAGTTTATTAGATGACTGGCTTGTTTAGGGTCTCTTTTTATTGATGAAAACTATTATTTTTTAAGAGCTGCTAGATAGATGTATCAGTACTTAAACTGGATGTGAACAAGTCTAGTTTGCAATTTGTGGAAAACAGTAGTTAAAGCATCTGGTATACTTCAGCTGAAAGATTAGTGTGAGTTTTCCAAGTATTCCCTGCCAGGCGGAGACAGAAAGCTAACGACTTTTAGTTGCTCTTAAAATTTACTTTAACACTACTTGTGAGTATGCAGATGTCATTCAGCTTGGATCACGTAAGAGTTGTGTTCCTTGCAGAAATGTTTCTTTTAATATACAGTGCCTTTCACTTGATTCAAAGTGATTTTTCCATTGAAAGCTTCAAAAACTGAAATGATTTCTAAAGCTTGAACTACTTACAATTTAGAACCTTAGGTAAATATTAGGTATGTAAAGTATTGTGGTATTAAGGAGCACGTTTGGAATTAAACCCAAACTGTAGTAGCTGTTAAGGAAAAAGACTTAATTGTTGGATCCTTAAAGTAGCATTTGAATAAATCATGACTCTCCTAGACACAGTGAATAAAGCATGTTCAAAGACAAAGGAAGTTGCCTTGAGGAAAGGTGCAAATGCCTATGGATTAAGAGTTTGGCACTGTATTTTTTTGTGATGAAACTGACTAGTGCACTGAAAACTGCTTGAAAAAGACAGGAATATAAAATTGTACTGTGAAAACTGTTAGAATATATTAATTTATCAGAATTAATTATTTTAAAATGTGTTAGTAATGGGCTAGCAAGTTGATCCTTTATTCCCAATGGTTTAAAAAAAAAAAAAAAAGTAAGAAAAATAAAATGAACTGAGGCTGTAAATTTTATCTTGGCAGACTGAAAATGGTTTTTAACAGTCCTGCACCTCAGTGCAAATGTGCAGGGGAACCACTGTCAACTTTTTTTAGTTATGGGACAAACTCTGACTCTGAAATCTTGAATGTATCTAATTCTTTAAGGTACACAAAATCGTGCCTTTTGTAAATGTTTATCAAAACAGGTGGTTTGACTAGTTTACCTTACTGAATGGTGTAATGTAGCAGAGCTTAACAGAACTCAGTTATCACTTGTGTGGAAAAAAAAAAATCGAATTGTCATGTTACTGTGTAATTGACTTGCTTAAAAAATGAACAATAAATTTAATAAAATAAAGTCATTGTCTTGTTTTTTATCTTAGTGTTCTCTTTAAATTTGGATGGAATACTTGAGTAATTTTGAAGATTCCTATTTATTAAATTGATAGAATAGTGTCAGTTCTTTTGTTCTTGGTTTAAAGGTTACCACTTTTTCAGTTCCATTAATACAAGAGGCAATATGTTACCTATAGTTCTATCAGGATCTTGATTAGTGATTCAGTTATGAAAGTTCAAGGTGAAACTTTTTGAAGTGGTAAATGGTGTTACTGTCGTGCTACTAGTTTGGGGCAAGTTTGACCTCGTTACAGTCAGTGTTTTCCTAGATCTTTGTCAGGTGGACATAAAGGCAGTCAGTTAAGTGAGGTAAGGTAAAGTTTAGAGTCTTAATGGAATTTGATGAAAGCAATGATGATGTTCACATGGTCAAGTACTTATAAATGAAGGACCTCTTTATTATGAAAGAGTAAGGCAAGTTTGTTCTCATTTTTTTTGTACCAGGGCCACAACCATCTCTGGGAGTTAGTTTTGGAACGCCATTCGGCTCAGGTATTGGCACTGGCTTGCAATCAAGTGGCTTAGGTTCTTCAAGCCTTGGAGGTACACTTTAATTTTTCTAATATTTCATTGAACTATGATATCGCACATCTGAATCTCTTGTAAACCTGAAACTTCACCAAGAGGATGATCTGTTTTGGGGCAAGACCTTTACAGTCAGCAGTCTGCACTTCACAAACTTCTTCGTGCCTTACAGAAAGTGTTAGCTATGGCTAATGCAATACTGTAGTAAAAACCCAGGTTGAAGTTCTCCACGGAACTTGGCTGGCAACTGCCCGTGGCAGGGGGTTGGAACTTGATCTTTGAGGTCCCTTCCAACCCAAGCCATTTCATGAGCTGTAGGAAAGTGAATCAAGACCATTCTTCTGTAACTACACTTTGCACTAATTTGAGTATTTGAAAGTTAGCACGTGGGAATACTATAACTAATATATAGAGATGTTTCACCTGTTGTGTACAGCTCTTAGCTGTGAGGGCCGGTTTCTTATTGGAGTAAGATATGACACTGCTAGAGAACAATACAGTTCTGGGGTCCTGCTGGGTGAAATGTTTGCTCTAGCTGTCACTCCGTTCATTAGTGGTGATGTAGGGAAAAGTCTTTTTCAACCTGTAAGGCAAAGCAACATCTGAAAGTGAGGGGATAAAATACTTTCATAATGTTGATTAATAGTGCTAGTAAGAGACACCTGAAAGAAAACTTCAATATATTTATAGACCTTTTCCTCTGATGTAGTTCTGCTGAAAATGCATTACAACTAGAAATATATTTGCATACAAAAGTTCCTATCTATATCAGTCAGGGCTTCCTACACTACACATCAAAAGGCAGCAGTGTTTATTGAAGCTTTTGTGTAAGATCTACAAAGACAATATATACGATCACAAATGGTACGTTGTGGTTTTTCTTATTAGATCCTTTCTGCAGTTGCATTCTGTATCCCTGCATTTGAATCTTCTCAAAGTGTGATAACTGCTACTGTAACACTTAAAAATAATAAAATCACTGGCTATTGGAAACACTTAACTGCTATGATAGATAATACTTGAAGATTATGTCAACTTTACCTTAAATGATGATCTTGAAATTATCTTTAAGTCTACTGGTAGGTTTTCACATCAGATTTTACCTCAGATTTTATCTCAGATAAGTCTATAAAACAACAACAAACAGGAGAAATAACAATGGTGGGCTGAATGAAGAATGACTGTGGATTATTGTTATTCCTGCAGTGTTTTAGATGCAATTTAGATGCAACCAAAGCAATTATAGTCTAAAGATTGTTTGTGTTTATCAGTCTTACCAACATAAGGAGCATTCTATTTTAAATAGGTGGACATCTGCTTTTAATTTAGCATTAGAGGCCTACTGCCCCTTTCTCATAAGCCAGTATGCAGTTGCTTGTTTCATCTATTCTATATTAATTTGTAAAGATTTGGTCTTTTGGCAAATCGAGAAAGCTGTCTCACAGAAGCAACTATAGAAGAATAAAGGAATACTTTATTCTTATTATTAACTGGCCTGCAGCAATGCTCTTGGAAGGCAGTGAGCAGAGTGAATATTCCACATGTTTGGAATTCTTACTTAGCAGCATTTTTAACATTCGTGAAACTGCATTTTAGCTGGGAAACATAA